TGAAGGTTTCATTGCGTCATTAGAGAGTTGATCGCCGCAAACTATGCAGAGCGGTTTTGGTTTGTGTGAATCGCCTGTCCCGACAAAACCATACTTCAAGTAGGACTCATGGTATTGTCTGTTAAAAGTTGCATGTTTCTTTGATGTTGAAGGCTCTTCGGTCTCTTCACTGAGCCTTTTCTTTTTTCCAAGGAAACTTTCTAAGGACGTCTGTTTTGTATTCATTTTTGCTAACTTGTGAGTTAAATTTGTGCAGACACAATACACGCGTACACCAAGCACTGTTAAACCTGAGAAAGTACCGGTGAACAGAGAGAGGAGTGATAGACACTTTCTTTTTACAAAAAACAAACAAAACCGCATAAAGCACACAAAACAGTAGAGAGGAATCATGGTCACGTGGTCCTTGGGCGACTAAATGGCAGACTAGCCAGCTTCTCTTTTATAGTCTTACTATACACTCTCGCTGTGTGAGGCGTCAGAATCTTTATTAGTTCCAATGCAAATGTCGCGTAGCGCTTTCGTTTTTTATTTATGATATTTACAGTTACGATGATTGTTTTTTTTTTTTACTAAAACTAATTGAATGAGAAAATAGTTGCAGAAGATTTCTTTTTTTTTACTTTTTAAAACATTAAAAAATTTATGTTATTACCTTCGGGGGCATCTTTTTTTTAAATAAATAAAAGTTTAATGGAACACAGATATTTTTAATTTGGGGTATAAACCTAGGAATTTTAATTCAGTTTCAATGAAATGGGCGGCCCGGTACCATTTGATCCACGGACCGGTACCGGTCCGCGGACCGGGGGTTGGGGACCACTGCTGTAACAGATTTGTAAAACTTATGTATTGAGAATCATATAGTTGTGTTTTTATATTATCTTATACTAGTTATACTATATTTAGCTTTAAAATTTTGTTTAATTTGCCCTAATTGCTTAAGATGTGTGTGTAATGCATTATTTTTTTTATGTGTATGCAAAAATTATCAATACAATAGCTATTGCATTTAAAATGTTATTTTTGTAATAAAAAAATATTTTCTAACTTTTACAATAATATAAAGAACATAATTAAACAGTCATATATTTTTTCCATTTTTCTGAAATATATGTCACTGTTGCGGGGTTAAAACATCCCCTCCTACATCAGAAATCCCCCACACGGTTTCTTATAAGTAGTCTGCGCAGATTAGTTAAAAAGCGAACCAGATGTGCGCATGAACCCAAATTCTATTTTAAAAGTACTTGAGAGAAATTTATCATATATATTTGAGAATTGAATCTGTAGTTATTGACAAGTAAATAAAACAAACCGATTATATTCATAAATTAAACAAATTTCTAGACATATATTTGCTGCCACTTTCTAATTTTTAATAGATTTCATATTAAATGGTTCTTTCACTTATTGGTTAGCCTTCATAATGCTCTGATCGGACTACCTACAAAAACCGTGTGGAGGCTTTCAGTTATAGGAGGCGTTGGTTAAACGCATATTTATAATATTCCCTTTCCCTCTTCGGCAGCTGAGTTATCACCTCCTACATCAAAAAGTCTCCACACGTTTTTTTTATGCGTTGACTATCTAAAAAGTGAACCAGTTGTGCGCATAATCCCAAATTCAATTTTAAAGGTAATTCAGAGAAATTTAAATTAAATATATCTGAGAATTGGTTAACAAGCTATAGAGGCAAACTAATCATATTCATAAATTAAAAAAAATTAGACATATATTTACTACCACTTTTTTATTTTTAGTAGATTTTGTATTATATAGCTCTTTCGCAAACTAGATTAAAATGATAGTGGCCGCATAAAACTATACAAAGGAAACCGTATGGGGGGTATTGAAAGTGAGTGATTGAGAAGAGTTATGTTTTATTGACTACTGTACAAAACTACAATTATTAGTTTGACGCTTTAACAGATTTTATAAAACGTTTAAAATCGAAGCAAAGCTCGTTTGCGTTTCATGTTATGACATTAAAATACGTAGTTGTATTTGTTTTGATCATAGATTTATCTTTTTTGAAAAAAAAATTACTAACCACCTTTACCGACTTTCCCCTTCAATCATTCCAGTGATTCTAATAATAACAGTGATCTTCATTTTGCTGTGTTTCCGATATCGATATCATGTAAGAGTGTGGCTCTATTCAAGAGGATTGAAATGTTTGAAAAAAAGAGGCGAAAGAGATGTTGGAAAACTGTTTGATGCTTATATTTCTTTGTCCGATGTAGACGCCTCAGAGGTTCGAAAACACTTTCTACCAGGCAAGTTTAAAAATGTCTACATATTTTAAAACATTTATTTTTATTTTATATTTTTTTAAAGGAAAACAATTCATAATAGTTTGGTAGTAAGAAAATTCCCTAAGATGTGGATAGTAATGCAAATATGAGGCCTTGCATGACACATTTTACTCATTAACTTAGTCGAATCTCAGGTAGTTCAGTATAAGCCGTATTAAGATGTCTGAATTGATTTGAATAAGAAAATTTGGGTGCATAATGCCGCTGCCCGGCTTTTATACAACCCATCTCAATTCTTGATAGATACAAAGACGTAAACTTGCTCTGTTTTGTAAAAAAGATTCTAGTGGTTACGAAATTTAAGATCTTTTTAGTTTAGTGTTTTTCATTTTAAGTAATTTTTCCACCACTACATATCGAGACTCATACTCATATGTGGAGGTTATCTTAGCATAAGCCCCGCCAGGGGCTCTAACTAATTAATCTGAATAAATAATAAATCGCCGAAGCGCAAATGAGTGGTGAAAATTGGGGTTCAGTAACATTTACTGAGTAAAAATTAAAACAAAGTAGGGAGATTAAGCAAGCAAATTTAAGAGGGAGAAGAGGTTTTTGTGGCAGACTGCCTCTCCTCCCCTGGAAGTACTAAGTATCGAGAATTCAAAATATTATGTCAAATCATATTTAATTGCAGTTATCTCGTAGTGACACTTTTAAAGTGCAATCAGCGTATTTAACCTTACTCCATACCTGCCAACTTTTGATCCTTTCGAGGATGGTTTTCTCCTGTGGTAGTAAACTCGAATTTAAATTACAATTCTAGGCAGTAACATATGCTGTTTTTGGATAAAGCTTACGCGGACAAACACGAGCTAGCTAGATCATGTAATTTGGCAAGGTACCTGCCCGCGCAAGCGGGCACTAGACCTCTGATCTGTGATATGCCCTAGGGCGACTGAGACTAATGACATTGGAAGTAATGAGGACGGGAAATTAGGAGGAGTACGAGGCAGTAACGGCTCGAGATATCTGCATATGCAGTTACTCAAATCATGATATTAATATATATGCTTAAATTTTTTAAAAATAGTGGTGGTCAAAAATATTTCAAATTAAGTTTATAAATGGAAGGAATATGTAGAATTTTACTACGACTTTAAATATAGAAATAAAATTTTACACCAAATGCGTAAAAGTTGGCAGGTATGTTACTCTAATAGTCCTGTCTTTATTTACCTAAAAACTTGTTGAAAATTGCGCAGAAAGCGAAACAGTTGGCATCCCTGTAGATGTAGAGATAAGAATGCAAATAAAGAAAAAGGAAATCTTGAGTTGAACGTTGAATTATGATAAGTTGTTATAAATGTGTTCATAATGGGGTAATAAATAGTATGGGAAACTCGATACTCCGCAAATCAATATAATCCGATAATTATAGCAACAAAAAAGAAATGGTGTTTCTTCTGAATAACTTTTTGACAAAAAGCTTTATTATGTTAATATAAATGATATTTGAAAACTTTTCTATTTTTCTCTGTACGATTGCTTTTATGAATCACCCGTACCAAAAGGATTAATATTTAGCTTCAAATTTTTATTTAATGTGATATTTACCTCCGTGACATTAAAAATATAGTACATGAACTGACATGTTAACTATAAGAAGATGTGTTCATGCCCTGGCTAAATGAAAACTTCTTTCCCCTTGATTGTAATTCAATTGTCACTTCATTGATATTTGAGAAAAATTGTCTTCGGAACGAATAAAAGATGACAGATAGGAAACGTTACTCTAGCTTCACTACCATTTGTAAAAATGTTTTACATATGGGCCAAATGTCGGCAGTTATGAGTATTCATAATAATTGAGTGAGTACTCAAATAAAGGAGCACTCATAATACTCATACTTTTAGAAAAGATTAGGCTTGGTTAGCTTTTCATACTTCCTAACTAATAGCTTAGTAGGCTTCGTTAGCATTTCGTTTTAGTCATTTATATTTATTTATTTTGCTTTAAAGCTAGCCCAAGAGTATGAAATATAATTTCTGAGCCAGAAAGTAACCGTAATTTGTAAAACTTTATCATTGTTTCATTTGTATTTTCCTTTAGTACTGGAACTGAAGCACCCGTTCTATAAATTATTTGTACCCCAGAGAGATATTAAAACTGGAAATTTTGAAATAAACAATCTGATGAGACGAATGGTGGATTGCAAATGTACAGTCGTTTTGCTCACTAAGTAAGTGTAGCATCCCATTTTATTCCCTTGACTATTTTTTGCCTAATTTCATGCGAAGAATATCAAGATAAACTCTCTAACGTAACAAGTGGTGAATAGTAAGTGAACAGTCATTTTACTCACTAAGTGTACCAGTTNTCGAAATAAACAATCTGATGAGACGAATGGTGGATTGCAAATGTACAGTCGTTTTGCTCACTAAGTAAGTGTAGCATCCCATTTTATTCCCTTTACTATTTTTTGCCTAATTTTATTCGAAGAATATCAAGATAAACACTCTAACGTGACAAGTAGTGAATAGTAAGCGAACAGTCATTTTACTCACTAAGTGTACCAGTTTCTTTCGGTTTTATTTCTTTAACTATATTTAATTGAATTCAAATATCATAAACTGCGAATTTATTAGTAGTATAATTTTACTGGCATCGATCTACTTAACTGCATCGGAAGTTATTAATGACACACACACCTGTTTGAAAAATATCAATTATTTTAAGACAAAATTTCCAACCTAAATGTAGCAGCTAATTTGAGACGGAGGGAGTATAATACTTGGTCTATCAGAAAATTTTGTCAGCGAAAGTGCTCGTCTTTTTTTCAGTTATGCAAAAGGTTCTTTTATAAAGGAAGGTGATAGGATATTTACCTTTCAATACAATGGTAATGTTCCAGTTTAAAGATACATAGAATATATGGCGCTTAAAAGCATGTGAGTACGCATTGAAAATCATAACACTAGGATCTGACAGAAATAAACGGTACATCTAATGTACATTTAAGGGTAAAAATCCCACTACTTTTCTTTTCTTTTATAAAAACATCCTTTTTATTCTATATTAAGGCGCACTAATTGTGAGAAACCGTGTGGTCATGTTGTAAACAAACATCTCATCTTGACTGATCGCATCCTATACGTTAAGAACAAGCAAATGCTGCCGTAATTAAATTACAGAATGTTCTCAATCAAGAACACTAACAACTAAAATTGATAATACTATTATACACACTTCATGGTAAGTGCAAAAATCACATAAGCTGCCTGGTGTAATGTCACAGACTGCTAACTGAACAAGCTTTCTAAGCAACAAAAACATTATTTTGAAGTTAATTACCAAGTCCGGGAGGTTTCAAAAGATTACTGACATGCCTGACCTAAAAATTTATTTATTTCATCAGTATTTCATGAAGCTTAGCAAAAACTCCTTGGAACTCTTGACCTAACTATTGGAACCATGTTTTCCTGATTGCGGCTACTATTTTGGGTGTCTGAAATCCGAATTAGTCAAAAAGAAGGTACGTTCATTCAGAGAAAGTATGTTTTTATGTCTGATTTCGAAACTTAAAATATCGTATGTACTTATTAATGAACATATTTAGGGTCATCCTCTCGAACCATTAAAATTCATCCTAGAACGTGAAGATCCCATCATTAGCTCAAAAGTTATTCAGGATGTCATTCAGGCGTTGTTTCTCCGCATTTTATGCCTCCTTTTTAGAGTAAAGCAAAAGGCTCTTTTATGAAAGAAATTCGTATAGGATATTTTTCCGTTAACTCAATGGTAATTTACTAGCCTTATACAGATTCATAAGAACAAATATATAAATTCAAATTTGTAACAAATTTACACAGAACTAAGCAGTATATCTGGTTTACACAAGGGTAAATGCCCACAACCATTTCTTCTGAAAATGAAGTAGTAGGGCTACCACGTTTCCTTTTTTGAAAAAAATAGAACCGTTAATATACAAAGACGTTAGTACCTTACCTTAGGTTGAATGTAAAGTAATTGAATGAGATATTTCTGTCAACTATTTCACCAAGATGTTTTTAGTATAAAAGTCTCTTATTGAGACTGAGTATTAATAGGTTGAGAATCGGGTTGTGTTACATGTTTGACATTTTTATTTTTGCTCAAATGAAAAGAATATTGTCTTTTTTAGCATAACTATTTATATTTTAGTTACAACTATTTATATCTTATTTTTTTAAAAAATTCTTTTAATTCGAAGGGGGATGAAACTATAGGTTCTTAGGTATTTTAAGTAAAACTCATAAATTTATGTAGGACAATGCTTTTTTTCCCGAAAAAGAGCCATGACTTCGTAACTTATTCACTGTTAAATACCTTTATAACTTTTATTAATTTTATGCTGATTAAAACAAATTAAATCTGGATTTTATTTGTTCATAAATGACTATATCATGTGAATTTTTTGTACACTGCCTGAAAACAGGGACTACTTGGAAAACGAATTTTGCACGGGGATATTTAGAATGGCATTTGCGAATTCATTGGAGGATAAATTGCATCAGATCATCCTTGTGAAGTTTGGACCCCTTCCACCCCTGAAAGAGATGGACCAGAGTCTGAAGACAGTGATGGAATCATCGAGATGTCTCAAGTTCGGAGATAAGTTATTCTGGGATATGCTTCGATACGAAATGTCTGAAAAACGTCCTGATACTGCCATTGATTACGAACTGCAAGAAGATAGCTCTGATGATGTTCCTTTAATACAAGAGTTCTGAGTACATATTATATCTAGAAATAAAGTGTACATATATTTTAATTTTGATTTCCTACAACCAAAACAAATGTCCAAGAATCTGTAAAAATTTAAATTTGTTTATTTTATTTCAAGAAAACATCGTAACATAGTGTCAGTAAAAATTAGGCTTCAACACTTAATGCATTCTGAGTTTTTGTATGTGACTTTTCCGACCCAGTTATGAATTTAAATATAGTTATAGTTTAAATTTATTCATTGACTTTATTCATAATGATTATTTATTTCATTCAACTTTTAAAAAAACTGTATTCTTCCATTATTTTCATTAATATATGAAAGAAGCATAAAAATAATATAAATAAATTTTCAGCGTGATATAATGTATTGTATGTTGATCAAAAGATTGCAGAAACACATCCAGAAACCAATATGTGTTTGTTTAAATATGAGTTGTTTTGCTACTTGCAGCACTGATGATTTGCCTCTAATAAAAGAGTTCTGAATAGATATGTAAAAAAAAAGGTAGAAATAAAAAAATATATATAAATAAATTTTCCTTTTATGAAGTTTTATTATTATTTTCTACAAACAAATTAAAAGTCCAAGAATTTGTAAAACTATATTTTCCTCATTTAACTTGAAGAAAGCATGGTAACATGAAATGAGAAAAAAATACGCTACTTTTTAATACATTTTGAGTAACTTTCTCGACAGAGTTATGAATTATTAATGTATTCATAGTTTTAATTTATATTCATTAACTATATTCGTGATACTTATTTCAATTATTTCAGTTTATCGAAAAAATTGCTACGCATCTAATATTATGATTAACATATGAGCCAAACATAAAAATAAAAATAATAAATTTTCAGCATGTCATCTTCATCAAAAGACTAGAAAAACGCCCAGAAATACAATATGTAACGTTTAAACATAATAACTTAATTGTAATATTAAATATAGATAATTCCGTTTCAAAATTCTTCCAAAAAGTTGAGTTTATTCTGATGCTTGACCAAAAAGTCCCCTTTTCTTCTGACTTGGGTAGAAAAACGGACGACGGTATTTAATAGATGAACGGACAACGGGGAAATTGAATTGAACGGGCAATGGAGTTGAAGAACTGATCATCCCTTAATTAGATCAACAGTTTAAAGACGACATTGAATAAATGAGGACATTTAGTTCAAAACACAACTTTAATTTTAAAGTATAGCTATTGGATTATTTTCTATTAAAAATATAGATATTTATATTATTAAATAAATAGTTGAAGATGAATGTCTCGTTTCTTATTGATAAACTCCATGATTTAAATAGTTTAGTGACCAGTCTTGCTCTTTTTGAAAAATAATTCATACCAGGCTTTTGTGTTTTACTCGGTTTCTTTTCCCACTACAGGACGTTTACAGTTTCATACTTCACTTTCTAGATAAGAAAAAAGTTTGGCAAAAATAATTCAAACTCACATTGTAATATGTAAAAAGGGAAGTTTTTACGGTATTACAATTTAATGCGAGCAAGTGACCATTAATTTAGTTGGTTGGTTTCGTATGCCTGTTTAGGCAGAGGGGTGCGATTGTTCTTGTTTTCCAGTGGCGCCACCTAAGGCGAAGAATTCGATTTCTGCCACACTCATTCGTCGCACCCGTTCATAAGGCGGACCCTTTCATACATCCATTCATTTATCCACAGATCGTAATTTTCACCTGAATCAGAGAACGATCGATCTCCAATCCAGTACCCCTAGAGATTTTGATTTGTAATGGGAACATGGAGGACTTTGCGACTCGACAGATTTAACGTGCATCAGTCAGCATTTTACAACACGGGTGTGTTCGGCCGGCGGGTTCGAAACCACGAACATGGACCCAGTGCCCTACCGGCCTCATTAATTTAGTATTTATTAATTGACACTGCCTTCCCCTTCTGCTCATTTGGTTTACTACGAAATTTTACCATACATAAAAGTTTTCTGCAAATTATAGATTTTAATAGGTCGTGAGCCAGAAGAAATTTAAGAATTAATTTAATTCATTCTTCTTCAGAATTCATTTACTCTTTGTTTCATTTAAATTTAAATTAAAAGAACGTGTTACATTGTAAACACTACGAAAATAAAAATTATGAATGGAACGCTTTATCAAGTGTATGCGTTAAAAATCAATCGGAAGTACTAACCCAGAAGTCTTATTACGAATTTTAACCTCTAGCGCCATCTTTGCATAGCCTTACACAGTCCATAAACAAAATGTTACATCTAAGTTAAGAAGTATTCAATTGAAAGATCTATAAATATTTCGTTTTCCAGATTTTGTTCTCAAAACTTTTGAGTTGAAATTCTAGCCTACTCATCTTGCATAGTTATTACGACAGCTTCCTGTAATTTCATTTTTCAAATTCTTTTTCAATTCTTGAAAATATTATTGAAATTTGCTAAATGTTACTCAATGAAGAAACTTTTCGTAATGATTGTCATAATCAGTTGTAATTATTTGTATTGGGCTCTTTAAATAATTTATAATATCGTGTGAATTTTATTAGATTTGATTAGAATACGCATGGTTAAATCTAAAAAGATCGCTGTATGATTTTCAAGTTTTTCCTAAATAAGTTTGAATATTTATTTGTCGTATTGGTTAAAATAACATTAAAAAGAATTTATTTACCCTGAAAATAGAATCCAACATCAAAATGTTTGCTATTGCTAGTAAGGTTCGTATGTAAGTAGTACGGTTGGGTAAAAACTCTATTTGATGTGTAACAAAGTTGATATATAGTTCGTTCACCAGGAGTTGGCACTTGGCTCCGCCTTCATCACGTGGTATCGGATGATACTATTTCGCCATTTTGGGGAGAAGGATGTGAACAAGGCTGCCATTTGGCGATCGTATGACAAAAATATTTATTTAGAAATCTTCATGTGCATATTTTGAACATGTGCATTTTATTTCATAAACTTGTTGATATTTCTCTCTTTTTATTGAATAGTTTGCTCTTTTAGAGATATTTTGCTGGGAAAAAGTTTTTAAACATAAATTAGCTAGAATAACGAAAGGTGTAATAGCTGATGATAAACCGAAGTAAGTGACTGAAAAAGAATTCACTGTTTAGTGTTTGGCCATCACCTTCTACATCAAAAAGCCTTCACACGGTTTCTTATAAGTAGTCTGCGCAGACTATTTAAAAAGTGAACAGTTTAAACATGAAACCAAATTCTATTTTAAAAGTGACTGAGAGGAATTTGTCATATATATTTGAGAATTGAATCTGTAGTGGTAGACAAGTAAATAAGACAAACTAATCATATTCAAAAATTNTATTTGCTACCGCTTTCTTATTTTTACTAGATTTTCAATAAAATGGCTCTTTCCTAAGCTGGTTTCCCTTCATAGTGGTCTGATTGGACTACCTATAAAAAACCGTGTGGAGGCTTTGCGCGCATTAGAGGTTATCTGGATTTCAAGCGGGGAAATGTTTTTCCTCTTACTCCCCCGCGCTGAAATGAACTCTGCGTCCGAGGAGGTGGAGCCAAGTGCCAACTCCTGGTGAACGAACTATACAATGGTTTTTGAGTATTACTACACTTAAATAATTTATACAAACATATAAAAAATTAAGATACATTCTTTAACCCTATTTCATGCAGTGAAACGAGTCTGGGAACTTTGTCAACAAATGCAAGCCTGCAGCTACTACGCTTTTTGCAAAATATTTTATAAAGTGGTCAACATTCCAAAGCAAAAACTTTCAATTGTTTACGTAATTTAACTAACATTTAAAAAGCTTCATCACGAAAGGGGAGGAACAAAGTGGCTTTGTATATGAATTTTTAACGCGTTCACACCGGGTGTTGCGCCTGAAAGCGGGACGGAAAAGATAAAAAAATGGTAGAAGAACTATTTCAATATTAGATAATATTCGGGTGGAGTTAATCTATTCTCAACAATAACAATTCACTGTTAGGAAATTCATCACGGCGAAGAAGCAATTCAANCTTTGGTTGGCGTTGGTTTATACCCTGAGCCTAGCTATATAACTGTAAGATATTTGATCAATAAATTGAAAACTGATAGTGAGGGGGAGAAGTTAGGTTGAAGCAATTCAATATAAAAATTGAATCCGTTAAAAACAATTGGTAGTTATGGATTTTTATTATTCCCGGAAAAAAACTAAAAAATGAAATTTATTTGTACCAGTTTTTACTCCGCTGTGCCGCCCGATGAGACAATCTAGCGTGACCCACCGGTGGGTCACCCCGGCGTGAACGTGTTAAATAATTTATATGTAGTAGTGTGAAAAATAAGTTCAAATTAATAAAGAATAGTACATTAATTAAACTTAGGTAGTACAAGATTAAATGTTTACAAAAAGCGTAGAAACTTAGCAGCCCTACAATTATTACAAGCCATTATAAATGTAAAATTTTTAGTCTTTAGCAACCACTATTTTTTAGGCTACAAAGAGCTAAAGTTGCCACGTTACTTAAATTTTTCAGTCTATGATCGTTGCATCTAATGAGTTACTAGATTAAAATGTATAATTGAGATTTACTGTTCCGGAAAGGGTAAACTGTTATTACGTTGCTGGAGCTGTCAAAATAATTCCCATTAAAAAAAACTCAGTAATTATATTACTTCCACAATAATGAATTTTCACTAAAGGAAAAAGTAAAAAATACTAATTCGAAATTTGAGTTGTCGCAAACAATAATACTCTCAGTAGTAGTAAAATCACGATCCTTGATTGTTAATGAATAATTGAAAACTTTCAATAATAACAATTTCTACAATTTAAAACACGTTCAGCTTGACACTCTTTCAATCTTACTGGGATATATGATATATCATTAAGAAAAGTTTTTAATTTACATAATTATTTCAATATTATTTAGGAATTTTTTTTCCGCACAACTGTATCTCAAAGTGATAGTTGGAATCAACCTTTGTTTTCGGTCTCATACTCTTTAAGCATATGTTTATCATAAATAGCTTTCTTTTAACGGAATTTATATACGTTGAAGCTTATCTTCTTTATCTAAACACATTTTATCAGAAACGAAAAAAATAAAATAAATGGTTTTAAAAACTGCCATTATTGAAATATCAAAAGTAATCACTGTATAATATCGATTTGATGTAGAATGGTTTCTCTTTTTGAAATAAATCACGACGAGTGAACAGAGATTTAGTTTAATTCACGAGAGTTCTAAAATGAATGTTACTTTAGTGATTTTAATTGTGATGTTTAGCAATTGAAGAATAGATGAGTAATTCACGACGAATGAATAGAGATTTGGATTAATTTATGAGAGTTTTAAAATGAATGTTATTTTGGTGATTTTCATTTTGGCGTTCAGCATTTTTTCGGTTGTTGACATGAAAGGGGTCAAATGCAAGGTTAAATTTGGAGTAAAGGCCATCAGCCTCACTTGCAAAGGAGAACGAGACTGCAATGTTAGCAGTATATTAGTACATCGTCATAAATCAAAACCAGTTGGTAAAGTGCTTGTCAAGTGCCTAGTGTTTAAAAAATGCAGAAATTGCGAAAAAGTCAAAAGTTGCACACTGCCAAGATTACTTAATCATGGAATTTTTAACCTCAGTGCGTTATCTGAATTAAATATTCGATGCCACCTTCAAAGTATAGAAGACGACGCCTTCGACCATACCAGATTACTGACTAAACTGCTTCTTTCTAACACAGATTTTCATAGAATCCCAAGTGCTATTTGTAGAATCAAGAAATTAAAAACGCTTGAAATTGCGGACAGTAAATTAACTGAGATTGCAACTGAACTTCAATATATGCCTGAACTTGTAAACCTCTCATTGACTAAGAACAGAATAAGTTCTATATTAGGCAGTGCTTTTATGGGTGATCTAAAACTCCAATCAATTGTTCTAACGAATAATAAGTTGAGGAGCTTAGATAATAAAACATTTGATCCGTGCCTTAGTTTACGATTGGTTAAATTGGACCAGAATGATCTCGTAACAGTTGATGGCTTATTTCAAAATCCTAGTTTGATGGTAATTTTCTTAATATTTCTAATTTTATCTCTTACGTTCTATCTTTAATATAAATTTTGGTATTAAATTTAATGAAAGTCGCAATGGCTTATTGGTTAAAATCCAGAGCTGTCTTTGTGAAATGCTGGGGTTTTATCCCAAGTGCTAGCTTGTAGCTCACCCAGCTTCAATTAAATGGTTACAGGCTTGCCTAAGAAGTGAAAAATGTCAGTGCAACACAATGTTATCCTCATTTTCAACATTAGGTCGTTGGTCGTAAAATTGTGTAGACTCAAGGTCTTTAACCCTTTTCTAGCCCGCATCGAGACTAGCAAAGCTTTTTAATCAGAGTAAAATATCAGAGTTAATATGTAAATATCAAATAATATATGCCACTCCTTAAAATATTTTTTGTTTAACGAAAAATCTTTTCAAATCATCCGTTCGTGTTTGAATGCCTGTAGGTAATACTTTAAATTTTTTTCAAAATTTATCATTAAATACAAAGTCTATATATATGTATATATAT